GGGAATTTAAAAATTATTTTTTTTATTATCTTTGTAACCGTTAGGCATACAATATACAAAATTATTTCTTTTTTTTAGCTCTACTAAATGGTTTGAAAGGAAATTGTGAAATTTTGTGTTTTTAGGGTAAAAAATGGGAAAAACCAATTTATACCCCATAATACCCCCCATAAACCCCTGTTCCAATAGTCTGATCATGCTGTTTCGCGAACTCATTCGAATAAACGTTGGTTTACACGTTTGTACAAAATTTAATTAAAATCGGATAGTTTTTGCTCGAGTTATCGCACTAACGGACACACACACACTCACACACACACACACACACACACACACATATATATATATATATATATATACATATATATATGAATTTGAATGGAGGGTGTTTTTGGCCTCTGGGGACCTCAAAACGAAAAAGTAAATCGACCCAGGTCTAGGTCTTACCATGAGACCTACGGTAATAGCTTATTCCCTATATGGAAATTTCGCTAATAAAAAATAAATATTTAATCCCTACTTAATTGACATTAAATTTAACAAATATCTCGGTTACCTGCTTTGGAAAGTCAAAAACTGCTTTTTTACCAAATGGTAATTGTATATGATTTAATGAAATTCGGGCATTTTCATGTTTTAAGGGTAACAATTTGAAAAAAAAACAGTTTAAAAAAAGGTCAAAACCCTGTTCCCATGACCCATTCTGCTGGTTCAATAGCAGCGAAAACCGTCAGATCATTGGCCGCTCCCTGCACTTAGGGTATACAGGGTGTTCAAAAAAGGTGGGGACATATTTTACCTAGTGATTCCTTGGGTCAAAATAAAGAGAAAATCAGGTGTAACATTTTTTTCCTAAATCGCTTCGTTAACCAGATATCCGCCATTTTGTATTTTTTACAACATTTTTATTTTTGAATTTTTTCAAACGATCTAAGGTTAAGGTAGAAAAGACCAATGTTAGAAAAAAAATCATCTTGATTCAATTAAAAATTTCAAAATGTCGGCCATTTTAATTTTCTTAACTTAAATTACTCAAAAACGGCTACTGTTGTGAAAAAATATCAAGAACACTTTTAATTTATCATTTTTAATTCCCTATCAAACGATACCAAGTTCAAAAAGATCGAGTAATAAATAGCTGAAATATTACGATTTTTAGTTGTAAAATGGGGTAGAATAAGGCAGAAGCTAGTCAGACCCATTTTACAACTAAAAATCGTAATATTTCAGCTATTTCTTATTCGATCTTTTTGAACTTGGTATCGTTTGATAGGTAATTAAAAATGCTAAATAAAAGTGTTCTTGGCATTTTTTCATAAAACCAGTAACTTTCGAGTAATTTGAGTTTAACACGTTCGCTACTGCAATAGTACGAAATTTTCCATTCATATGGACCAGCGACGCACATATGCGACGGCCGGTTTCCACCCATAGACTGCCGTCGCATATATGCGACGGCTAGTCACATTAAAATAGACTGCCGACGCATATTTGCGTCGGGGTTCTAATGTTATTAAAATGCTTATATCTTTGTAGTGGTCTATTTGAAGGCACTGAATTCTCTGCAGTGGTCTACAGAGATGTCTGACGCACAACTGCGTCGCTTGGTCTGTGGATATGATGATTTGGTCATATAATAGTTGGAAAAACTGGTCTTTACTTTTCTGCATCACTGTATGTATGTATGCAGTATGTATGCTGCATTATCCTATGTAGCTTTTATATTTGTTCTATAAACTGTTCTTGAATAATCTGTTAATTTTTTTACTTACTTTCACCTTAAAACACAAAAAAATGAACTGTCACATATATGCGACGTTTAGTCTATTTCAAGAAAACTATGATAATTTTCACTATTGTCTTCGCTGTAGACCGGGCGTCGCCAATATGCGACATTACTAAAGGTTATAAAAAATACAAAAAAACAAGAATAATTTATTTACAAACACGATTGTAGCGTATTACAATGTAAATGATCACTGTTTTACTGGTTTTCGCCCGTGGTCTGTGTGTACTGTTATCCAAGTGACAGACGGTCTACGTGTAAGATTCAAATGTATACCTCGGTCTGTGGCAATGACCGCTCCGTCGCATATATGCGACGCTCAGTAGCGAACGTGTTAACAGTTTAAAATGGCAGCCATTTTGAAATTTTAAGTTGAATCGAGATGAACTTTTTTTATGACACGGGTCTCGTCTACCATAACAAACATACAAAGTTTCATAAAGATCGGTTTAAAATATTAACAGATTAAAATGTTTATGTAAAAAATACAAAATGGCGGATATCTGGTTAACGAAGCGATTTTGGAAAAAATATTATTCTTGATTTTCTCTTTATTTTGACCCAAGGAATCACTAGGTAAAATATGTCCTCACCTTTTTTGAACACCCTGTATATGTAGCAAAGCGATTAATACGGCTATGATAAAATGTGTTCATATAATTAATATATGATAATAATCATGATTGAGGTCTCAAATTTAAGGCATGTACGATTTCACACCAAGCTTCGGCATATACTTATCTACTGTCCCCACTTGACTTATACGCAAACAAAATTTGCGCCCCATGTATTTCTTATAGGAGTTAAATTTGGTTTTTCTTTTCCGAGTTTGTTTGGCTCTTCTCCCCTACCGATTTTCATGATAGAGGTCTCAAATTAAAGGTATGCACGCACAGATTTCACATAAAGTTTCGGCATAATATTTATCTACTGTCCCACTCGGCTTATACCCAAACCATATTTGCGCCCTATGTATTTCTCATAGGAGTTAAATTTGGTTTTTCTTTTCCGAGTTTGTCTGGCTCTTCTACCCGACCGATTTTCATGATTGAGGTCTCAAATGGAAGGTATTCACGCATATATTACACATCATGCATCGGCATATATTTATCTACAGTCACACTCGGCTTATACGTAAACAAAATTTACGCCCCATATATTTCTTATGGGAGTTAAATTTGGTTATTGTTTTCCGAGTTCTTTTGTCTCTTCTACCTGACCAATTTTTATGATTGAGATCTCAAATTGATGGCATGCACGCGCAAATTTCACACCAAGCATCGGCATATATTTATCTACTGTATTACTCAACCAAAAAACATAATTTTGATTTATTTTTTTAACTATTACATCAATTTAAGATGTATTTTACCAGTTATAATTATATAATCCTATATTTCAGTGAAATATCGGCTTTCATTTAAGCTGTTAGTTATTCAAATCGGACGAGTTTCAAGCAAACGTAAGGTGAACTACCAACATAAAAATGAATTTTTATAAGGTTTTTCTATGATTGAAAATCAATAGCACCAGTGTTGTTCATATTTTTAGCGAATTTCCCTATAGGGAAGTAGCTATTACCGTAGGTCTCATGGTAACACTTACGCCCGGGACCGATATACTTTTTGATTTTGATGTCCCCAGAGGCCAAAAACACCATTCGTTCAAATTTTTATATATGTATATATATATAGATTTATATATATGTATATGTGTCCGTGAACACGATAACTTGAGTAATTTTGATCCGATTTTGATGAAATTTGGTTTAAAGGTGTAAGTCGGGATAAACTTGAATGAGTTCGCGATCCAGCATGATCGGACCATGGGAACAGGGTTTTATGGGGGGTTTTATGGGGTAAAAATTGGTTTTCTCACTTTTGACCCTCAAAACACAAAATTTCCAATTTTCCTCTAAACCTTTTTAAAGAGCTTAAAAAAACAAACAATTCAGTATATCAAAGTGTTTTTGTACGGTTATTGGTTACGGAGAAAACTAAAAAAAATGGTCAATTTAAAATTCCCATGTTATTCTTATGGAGAATATTGTAAAATGTTGTAGTTTGCTTGTTTATGGATATCTTTTGATCAAACTTGGCAAATATATTCATTTTATACTAAGCAATAATTATTTTACTTAAAACACACACTTTATTAGTTTCCTTGTAGCAGCAAACCTAGGTACTCGTTAAACCTAATGTTATTTAAATAGATCAATTGAAAATCAATTCAGCCAAATGGAAATTCGCTAAGAAGGCAGGTTTGCTGCGGCGGGGGTATTTTTTATATGTTATGGACTCAAAATAATCAGTAAATTATAGGCTTTAATTTGAGATATTGATCGTTTGAATCAGTTAAGTTCAAAATACTGTAGGCCTACTGTATTTACTCAATCAAAAATCATAAATTTGATTATTACTCGGATATGATATTTATTTTAACGCTGCGGAGCAGCATGTGTCCTCTAGTACCTTTTAAAATGTTGTCTTTATTAAATTTTTCATTACTTTTCCACAATGAGAAAAGTATTTAAATATCCATGGTCCAGATTATGCTGTCTCTAATGTAATCTTAAAAAAGGAAATTGATTTCTGTCTGTATGGTATCTTTCCCTTTATTCTAAAGACTTTCAAAATATTTAACCAAAACCATATTTTTATACCTTGTTCAAAGCAGTGCACTTAACAATATTCTTACTCGTTGTGCTTAAAAATATGTATTGAGAGTAGGTTGATCCAATCAAGTTTTCTTTTTCAATGGTTTATTGAACACAGCAGGATTTCACCATGTTTTGGGGGGAAATACTGCTGGTACTTCCTTTTTATAAAAACCTCAAGTCATTTTCACAAAGTGTAGTAAACTAATCGAATACACTTACGCTTAACGTTTTTCTTTCTTGTATATTGAAACCTTACAATGTAAGAAATTTAGTGCTAATATTGAACTTCGCAAGGCTATCTATTCGCTCACGGAAAACTTTCATGGGAATTTCATAGTGAAATCACAAAAAGTAGTTTTATCCTCTTTGAAAGTGAATGTTGGTTTAGTTTATCACTCAGTACACATTGACCCAGACTCTTTGTTGTTGTGAGCTGATGATTTGTACTAGTGATTGACTCCACCTACTTAGTCTCAGAGTCCCATTGACAGTGATAACCTATCAGTGTCTTATCTCTGACCCTCTACAGACACTAGTCAGTGTGTGTTAGGGCCTTTGATCAACACTTTGCTCTTGTCTGCCATGTGCTCATGGATTAGTCAAGAAATTAGTGCTAAGTGTCAATTTTGTTATAACTAGTTTCTACATTTAAGTTTAGTGTTTTGGTTTCCTTGATGTGGTGTAATGTTTTTAGGTTTGTATAGCTGAAATTAGCAGACAATATGGAGGAAGTGTCTTGGAGTAGTCTAATTTGTAAACCGGTCCAATAAAAATAATCAAGGCCATAATTTGGTAATAAACTGTGTTTACACTTTTTGTTTTAAAAGCATATTCTTTAGGATTAATATGTGCATTTTAAACATCGACATAAAATAAACTAATTACCTAATTCGATTATGTTTTGTGACTTTCAAAAACCAAGCTGGTTTTAGCTAGTAACAAGGCTATTGTCTTGTTGTTTCAATAATCATTCAATCAATATCTTCACTTAACTTTGCCACTGGTGCATCGGCGCTGTTCACAAATAATATTTAATAGTTATATGGTAAAAGGCACCTTGCTACCAATAGTATTTTCAGACAAGATATCTTATATCTCTTTTTCTGTCTAAAGCGTTGGCATGTGATAAATAGGAGGATTTCTGCAGTTGTTATGTGACCTTATTGTCAGTTTATTTCTTCTCTCCATTCAAGAGTAACTAGATGGTAGAAGACAGTTGCACAATCTTCTCTGGCAAGGTTTTGACTCTTTTCTGGCAGCCAATTTGTCAATCCCCTATTCTGTTTTGTATTCCTCATTATATGGATTGCAATCTTCATCAATGTTATTTTTATTTATATTAATCTTGATTTACTTAACACTAATTTCCTGCACTATACTGTATGAGATATTTTTCTTACATTACAATATCCACTTTTCTACGTATATCTATTTGAAACTTAGTGGAAATTATATTATTCTAGCCAGCAGCAAAATTCTTAATCTTAATTAATTTATCCCCTGGGTGGTACTAAGCGTTGGACGACTTTTGGTGTCAAGACTGTTACTATGATCTCCCACTGAAGTGAGCTGTCAAACAACACAAAAACATTATCTTTAGCTAGCTAACTTTAGTTAGCTTTTGACTCTGTCTGGAAAAAAAGGTTTTGTAATTTAAAAAAAAAATGTTACAATCTGATTCATTAAACTTCTTTAGAACTCTATGCTCTCAAACGGATTAATTTAAGTATATGCGACTTAAGAAAAGTAATTTATAGCAACTCAAAAATAGTCTCCATTTACAAAAGCCCAAGGCACAAACCAGGGCCAACATTGTACATCAGCTTACTGGGTCCGCATTTATAACAAACGCACAAGTTCTTTGTCTGTGCCATACTCCTTTGTCTCTTGTTTGTTCTGTATATTCTGCCTTTTAAATACTGTATTCCAATGTAGATGAATATTGATGCAAAGAGGTTCTACTTAAAAAGCACTCAAGGTTATATCCACCGCTCAGCTGTTTATACACAACAATTTGCCTCTGGATGTCTATAAACCACCACTGAAAAGATGATAGGGTTATGAGACCCAACTGCAGAAGAAGGTAGAACCCCTTTTTTTTGGAAACAGTGGGCTTTATTAACCTGTAGTTAGGTGTACATTAATTTTTAAAATGGAGAATTACAAATGATCAGTCTTGTGGGTGTGGAGCAGAGTCTGAAATATGGAGCTCATAGTCAATAATTGCCATCTTACGGCATCTCAGGAATCAGTTAGTCTCCCATTGGGTTTGACTTAGTGAAGGTAGATCTCTCCATTTATTGGAATCCATTTAATTTGTTTTATAGATGTAGCTGAGTTAGCACAGGAACTATTATTTATATCCTTTCACAAAATGTTGTGATTTACTGAAAAATACAAATAATCTTACTACATGCTGTGAATCATTGCCACTCATCACTAGTACTAGCTCAGACTTTTTTCCTACCGTTGTTTTACATTCCATGACCCCCAGAAATAACTTCAAATCCTTTTTTAACACTGTAACTTAAAACTTCTTATTACCACATATGTTTAATCATCCATATAATGAACAAATTTTGTTCCATCCTAGCTGTTTCATGATTTTGGATCATATGTTTTTTTGGTTGAGAGTTTTCTGTGAACCATAATGTTAGACATTAAACTATTAATCTAAACACTTGATTTGAATGACACTCTACTCCATAGAAATCCAGATGTTTTTTTACTTTTGCTTTCCCTCCCAACACATAGTATATAGAGAAAGTATTGTTTTCATTAAAGTTTTTGAGATTGATTAGCAATATTCGTTTTGGGTCCCTTTGAACCCCAAAAAGTGGTTTTAAAAGTGACGTCTCTGTGTGTGTGGATGTGTACAGACCTACAGACTATACATGTGGTCCGATTTTGATTAAATCTGGTACTTGGGTACTAATCCATGATATCTGCAGGCATTTTTTATTTTTAATAGTGACTTAAAAAAAAAAAACATAAAATAATAGAAAAATCTGATATTTATAAAAAAAACAATTTTGATTAAAATTTATTATGTTATAGTCCTTTTCCCCCTATGACATAACCTCCAACACTGTAACAGTTATAGTTCTAAAGCTATTGCAAGTTTAGTTATTTTCCCCTTAAAATTCCCAAGTTACTCTTTCTGTTTCTCTGTTTACCCATACAATTAAGAAAATGGCAGAAAGTATGTTTCAGTTTGCTGATACTGTTTATTTATTTTAAAATACAAAAGGATAATGTATAGAGTTATTATACATTGATTATAATTTATTATTATTTTCCTTTACATCAAATTTGACATGTTGAAAGTACAGTTGTGTTCATCATTGATGGAGTCCATACTTCATCTTAGTTCATCCTAGGAAACCTTACTGTACCTCTACAGATTGAATTTTTTGTCAGATGAATGCATCAAATACTATACTGAAATATTTGTAGAAATAAGTTATGTTTACTCAACCCTGCAATAACAATTCTGTTACACTCATGTCAAGAAGCGATACGAGTCTAGGAACACTGATCAGTCAATTGACACCAATTAGCTTGGCTGTGTCACTATACGAGAAAACACTCATTTCAGATAAACTTTTAATGTTTTTTTTCTTGGTCTATCAAATACTTCTGCAATTTTGTTGACTTTCATGGTAATTTTTTTTTTTATAGACTCTGCGCCACAAAGAATAAAAATTGAATACCACCCTAAAGCTGGTTTTTCTTGTTTCCTCATATTGAATCACTGTGCAATGTGCACCCAAATCATCAAGATAGAATGCAATGTAGACCATTGTGCTCATGGCAACTGAGGAGTCTTTGGAAACATCTGGTGTGTGTAGTGATGCTAGTCAGGATAATAAATTCTCAAGATAGACAATGGTCATATGCCACTGTGGATTATTGCCGAAAAGGAGATTTAAAAACTGTATAAACTTTAACACATCATTATATAAAACAGATTTTTAATTTGCTCTCTAAGAAAAATGTCTTAGGATAAAATTCTTAAAAACTTTTTCCTTTCTGAAAATGTGCACGAATTTAGTATATTTGTGTACTTAGAAAAGAAAAACTGGTCTATTTCATCTTATAATTCTTCTTGACCTTCTAATTACAGCAATGTCACTATATGTTTCTTTCCTTTAGGGTACAAACTCATATTTACTTCCTGTACTTATTTTCATAATAAACCCAAGGGAAATGTGCAGGATAACTTGTTGTAATGTAATGTAATGGAAAAATGTAACCATATTGTGTACGTGAACTGTGCTCAACAGCACACAAATTGGAAAATCCAGTATTAATATTCTTCAAATATGAACATTTGCAGATTAAAATAAATTTGCGTCTCTCATAAATAAATTTAACTAATTGCATCAATAGTAAGCAGCTTCTTAGAAGCTCTGTATGAAAACAAAAATAAAAATATGGAATATCTATCTTTTTTATTTTATTTAGTTATACTTTTCTTCCGAATTATTTTTTACCTATTTGTATATTTTAGTAAATTCTATTTAATTTTCAACACATTTTAAAGAAACACTATTAATTACCCTCTAGCTACAATAAAATAGTATAAACCGCTGTAATATACTTTTTTGCTTATTATTTTTGCTAAGAATGTATGACAAAGTTAATCAATTACTATGTGTTAAAACTACACAAGAGGTTAAAATTAGTTGAAATGATCTCAGTTCCCAAGTAGAGACCAAGTAGATAATTTGATAACTGATACAGTAGTAAACTACCTTCGGTTAGTCGGCTTTGAATGAAGTTTTTTGTTTGTTATTCAGTGGGAGCTAGAATTTGGTTGAAGATGGTAGACGAATATTTATTTTCTGACACTTTGTGTATACAGGTAAATGTAAGATTTGTGAAATTGTTGAGCTTAAGAGTTTCTATTGTTTGTTTTCTTTACTTTGGAGCTGATCTCTTTGATCTTCAAGGAGTTAATAATCTGCAGGTTTTGGTGTTAGTATATGACAAACACGCTGGGAACCAATGCAAATCACAAGGAACTCTATTCCCATTCTTAAAATGTGTGTTCCTTTAATATTTATTTCACATTTTGACCTCTATAACTTTGCAGCTGTTGCCATGTTTATTTTGCTGGGGTTTAAAGAAATTAACCACTAAAGTTGGTTAAAAGGGGTAAGATGAGTCCCAGACAAACAGCCCAACAATGAGAATACAGGGTACTTGATTTTATTTGTGATGAATATTGTAGGATTTCTGGAAACCAAAACTGTTCATGCATAAAACTAGTTTTTTATGACTTAAAACAAGAGTAAAGTGTAATGATCAACTAAAATTAATATTTGTTTTTAAACAAAGCCAAATAAAAGTGGAATGTAATGGTATTAGTGAAGTGTGTTGAGGAATAAAGATGAGTACACCACCTCAGTGTCGGACTATTCACTCGTTGGGGACCCCTCGAAGTCTACAACGAGCAGTGTTTGGTGCCGCCAGCAATAGTTTAGTTAGCTTAGAGTCCCTTCCACTCACCGAGGGAGGGTTCCGGCCAAGACCCAGCTATGGTAGTATCTTTAGCTACTACCACATGCTACGTCGCGGCTCTGTACTAAGTAATAGCAAGGTATGCACCAACCAATGCCAAACTAGTAGAGAAAATATTAGGGGAGGCAGAAATGATTATAGCAAAATAACTACTAGAATAGAAGTGCCAGTAAAAAATTGGAAATGGTGCACAAAGTTTAATTTTTGTGTGTTTTTTCAGCTATTTACTTTTATTTCCAAACAGTGTCACTTTCATCAATCCGATAATCTATATATTAATAACGTAAGCCGATTCTTAGCGTCAAAATTGTGGGCGACTGGGAAGTCGTAGAACGACGGGAGAGGGCTCAAATTAAAGGTCTCGATCCTGTGACGGCGGGAAAAATAGTGAAATTCCCTAAATTTTAACATAAAATTTGATATAACGTAAAATGTTCTCCATAAGAAATGCATTAGAAGCCATTTACTGCTGATTTTTGTTTACTTCAATACAGCTGATCGTGATTAATCATCAAACCAGTAAGCAATATTACATTTGGATTACTCATTTGCCAGTCAATTCTGCAATGTACTGTATACTATATAAAACAAACTATATAAAGGGATAACGTTACCCTTAATAATAAAGTCTTTTTAGTTATGTCAAAGTTGAAATAAATTGTTTTCAAGATTAAAGAAACGATTCAAGATTAAAAGAAGATCTTCTTTGTTTTGATTTCAAAACATATGTTAAAGATTTATTTTTTTATATTTTATATTTTAGATTTATTGTAGTGTTTAATCAATATTTTGTATGAAGTGGAATAGCCTCAACGGTTACTCTTAGAAAACAATTTGGGAATAAAGATGAAGTAGGTTCGTACAGTAGGTATTTGTTCATTAAGTACTTAAGTACTTTGTTAATTGCTCCAAGCAAAATAGGTTCAAATAGTATAGCCTAGCATGCATGGTAGAAAAGAAAGCACCTATATATAACAGTAGAACGTAGAGGTAATTTCCGTTTCTTAAAACTAACAAAAAATATTTATGTCGTGATTAGTTTCGATAACTGGGTAATGGAACCCTAACCAGTCGCAAAATAGTTAGTAATTAAACGTTGATTAGGCCCTTTTTTTGTAGAATATGTAAATCAATCGCAACTTAAGGAGGATTACCACCACATATACTTACACTAGGCTAATAATAGTGGTTTTTTTATGTTCATCAGAAACAAATTTAGGGTTAAGCTCTGTCAATGGGATGCCTTTACTTAAGACTAATTCTGTCAAACCTTTACAAAATGAGCATAGACTTAGAAATGATAACTGGGTAGGGATGCTAATTTAGCAGTTTTGACCAAGAACTAAGTTTATGTCAACACACCATTTTTTGCCTTTTCTTATTTGACGAAGACAATTTCCAATACTGTATTTCAACATTCACATTGACTAAATAATTAACGATTCGAGATTAAATGGAAAACTTCTGCTTTGTTGTTATTTCAAAACATATGTTCAATATTTATTCTACACTTTCTTTGTAAATGTCAAAGAGTCTATACAAATATCTACACAAAAGATATGGTGTACAGGGATATATTATATTCTGACACATAAATAATATATTTCTGAGTGAGTTTGAATATTAGAATAATTTGTTTTACCTAACTCGCCTTTTTAAACTTCCCTATCCCAAGCGTGATGTATACAACTTCCTTACTTCTCGAGTGATGTAAAGTTTCAAAAACTCACTCGTTGAGGTAATGAAACCCATTTAAATAACATTGAGAGCTCAACTTCAAAATTATACCTCTATGGAGCCAACGATGTTTAACGCTAGAAATCAGCTGTGCGCTTGAATTTTATTGTTATGCTTTAAAGAATGATCCTAACCTAGCTTTTGTTTGTAAAAGAACGTTACTGTTAGAAGATGAGTGAAATGGATAATGAAAAATATTGTACGTAACCCCCTGTATATTGTCGGGTCAGGTAAAATCTTGTACGTTACACGTTACGCAAGAGCGTGTTTACATCACTTTTCACTTAGGTGAATTATGTCACCTGCGTGATGTAAAAACGCTCTTACTACACTCTTGTAATGTAAATAGCTATTACATTATTGAGCTTTTTAGAGACTTATGTCCCTACAGGCCACTAGTAGTGTTTATTCCATAATAACAATTAGTTTTTATAAAGGCAATAAGGCTAATAGAAAACTAAAATGTTGCCAGCAATACAAATAAAAAAAAACTTTTTAAAGTACAAGTCCTCTGATTAGAAATATTTTTTGTATCTCAGATTTTATAGTTGTCATTATAAAAGGGGTGGCATGGGAGTTTTGTAACTATCGTGTCATAGAAGCATACTTTCATTGTGTAATGACTACAATTTTGTCTTTACATTCATTATGTAGCCCCTGATCTGTTTAATAATTAGACTATTATAGGTACATACCTTACAACAACAGTTCAACAAGTGGTGTTCACACTCACGACATGTTTTGCCTATTCATTCAGGCATTGTCAAGTGATCTTACGGAGGCAGACTACCTCCGTACCGCGACCGGTTAATAGTAGGTCTACTATAAGTTTTAAATGTGTTTTTTTTCATGCATGTACTGGGTGTCCCAGAAAGGATTGCACTTTTATTTTGGGGAAAGCCGAATGTCCAAGAATGATAAGATAAGGAGCTTATCAGGGCTTTGTAGCCATGCCGTGGAAAGTCATTTGCCATGGATGGCTTTACCGGCAAGCAGTGTGCTTTCTGTGTACGCGACTATTATCAAACGCTTTCATTACGACACTTCCGTGCTCAATACAGACTTCATGATCTCAAAACCAAATGCCATCAGTGAATATTATTAAATGCTGGGTGGGCAAATTTAAAGCTACAGGATCAACTATGAAACCTCGTCGCATCGGTCGCCATAGAGAAGCGCGTTCTGAACAAAATATCGAGCGTGTTTGAGATGCTGTAGAGGATAATCCACATCGATCAGTAAGAAAACACGCTGCTGCTTTGAATATACCCGAACCAATATTTACCGCATTTTGAAACAAGATTTGCAGTTTCACCCGCACAAAACTCAATTAGTACAGGCAAAAAAAAAAAAAAAAAAAAAAAATACAGCATGGGTATACAGCAGGAGACTCCATGACTACAATAAGTCAGCTTTTTTGTGGGAAAGTCATTTCCAGATTTGGTAACAATAACTTTCCTTCAAGAAGCCCACACCTAACTCCACTAGACTTTTTTTGTGGGGTATCTAAAAAGTTGGGTGTACAACAACGCTCCTGCTACTCTCAATCATCTAAAGCAAAATATTCGTGAGGAAACTGAAGCCATCTCACCAGAACTCTGCCGTTGAGTCTTCGCAGATGTGAGTTTTCGTTTGGCGAAGTGCCGGCACCGTAGAGGTCTACATCTGGAAGATGTAATCTTTCACAAGTAATTTCCCTGAAGTGTACAAACAGGTATTCTTGGGGAAATTGCTGTAAATAAAGCCATTTTCCTGTTTTGTTCGTTTTAAAAGTGCATTCCTTTCCGGGACACCCAGTATAATGTATATTTATTTGTTTGTAATTGACGAATCTTATGTGGATGAATCATTCTCGTAAAGATAACTTGACAATGCCTGAATGAATAGGCGAAACATGTCATGAGTTTGAACACCACTTGTTGAACTGTTGATGTAATGTATGTACTTAATATTCCAACAGTTTTGTCACTAATAACATTGACTAATTGTATGCAAAAATTCTTTGAAATGTCCAATTCAATTTTTACATTTGATTGAAAAGTTTGGCTCTAGATTCAATTGTGTATAAATAACTTTGCCAATCCACATGTAATTATTTTTATCGCGTAAAAACTACTTGATGAACTTACTTGAAATTTTGCACAAAGATGACTCGTGTTTACATTTAGGGGTGGAGAGGGGTTGAAGGGGTATCTATTTATATTGTTTTTGTTATAACTTATCCTTTAGTGTCAGGTCTTCAATATGCCCTTACATGAAAACATGATACACATTCGATTGAATGTTATTCATAGCATCAACCATTTTTCTTACGGGGTGTTGGTACTCTTTAAGAAATAGTTGTCAGAAATTAAGTGAGTTCTCTACTCTCAGAACTTTAAAATTCTCTTAGTTTGGATATCCACTGATAAGAAATCAACACTCGTTTATTCGCTGGTGTAAAGTTGAAAATGTCAATACAGTAAGCAATAGCCACCATCGCTTACTAAATATGTTTTACTCTATGTCTAATTGTTGTGCGTCCTAATGATAATTTGATTTATCAATTCTAAACAATTTCAACACTCTAGATGTTAGAGTACTTGCCTCAAACTCTGTCATGCTCACCTAGGCACAATAGGCATGAACCTCCTGTTATCGTGTGATAAATGATAAGTGTTATCACAACCGCAATTATCCTCACTCAGTCTGAGGCTGCGAGAATGGTGAAGCGGAGGTATTCCAAGCAGGTGAATCATGTTATGTTGGTAAAACATTCTGTTTACTACTTCTTACAGTGTTGTTAATTTTGTTACATTTTTAATTATTGGAAATTAAGTTATTGCAAGATAAAAATAGTATATACAGGTACTACCTAGTTTTCAATCATGTATGTTGATTTCAAGATATTTATTTTTTATAAAAAACATAGTTATTAAAAAAATAAGCAAGTGAAATTAAAATATTCTCCAACTATACTCATGTTGCCATGCTCAGACTGACTCTATACAAAAAAACTTTGCAATCATTCCTATACCCAAGCTCTGTAAATGTGCAAACTTAATATTACACTAGCTGTTGGCCCGCCCTACGTACGGGAATCAAGTAGCCGATTAAAACTAATTCAAAACAGCTATCTTACACGAATACAAAAAGATTCTTGCATTTTTAATAGGGAAAATAATCTTGTAAACACAAGACCACGTCTATTTCTTTCATCCGATTGTAGTAGGCTTTAACTATATGGATTTTAAATCCGATAATTTTACAATAAAGCAGTGATTGTGTTGATTTGAAAAGCCTTGAAGTGGGATTGGTCGATTCACACACACTGGTTTAAAGTACGGTTAAGTTACATATTAC